ACGAATCAAAGTTTAGGAGTGGGGGCTAAAACGTCATTCCTTAGTATAAAATGTACTGAGAAGTGACGTCACGCGACATTTCAAATCAATATATCTTCGAAACTATTCGTTTCTGTGAGAAAATAAAAAATACTTGTCTAATGTTTTTAAATAATCTATCAGACGGACATTAAAATAAAAATTAGTCGTCTACCCTATTGAAATTGTTTAGAAGAAAATCATAATTTAGGTATAATTTAATAAAAAAAAATGTAATATGATGATGCAAAAGATATCGCCCCCGGGTGGGCTCGAACCACCAACCTTTCGGTTAACAGCCGAACGCGCTAGCCATTGCGCCACGGAGGCTGTGTGATAATTGTATAGAATCTTGGATTCAGTATTATTGCTGGGAATAGGCTAGTTTCTAAAATTTTTTTAGGTAATGTCCGTCTGGTATATTATTTTAAAACTTTAGACATGTATTTTTTATTTTCTCACAAAATTAAATACTTTCGACAATATATGAATTTGAAATACCATGTGACGTCACAGCGTGCCACAGTTTGTAGCACGTTATGACGTAACGACCTCCCACTCCTAAACTTAGCGCCATTTTATCTAAGTATTGCAACTTGATACGAGAAAATATAAAAATACGTGTCTAATATTTTTTCATTAGGTATCTAACTGACGGACTAATTTTTTTTTATATAATGTTTTTTTTGTTTTATTGTTGTTTTTTTTTATTTTGTTATTTTATGTTTTTTATATTGTTTTATTTTCGGTGGTCCATGTCTGATGACGAATAAATTTATTTTTCTTTCTTTCTTTCTTTCTTTCTAGATTTTTAATTTTGATACCCTGGAAACTACACAATTGTGACAGCTATAGCAAGGCAAGTTCGTAATTTATTTTAAATATAATTTATTAGAAAATAGTACTAGAAATGTAGAATTGGAAAATTTATTTGCTTGCGTTGTATTTCACCGTGTGAATTGATATTTGCTAATTCTAAAATGTAGATTTCTATAGAGAAGAACGAGCAAAAAACATTTTTATAAATAAAATAAAGGCAGGATATACCCACCAACACATGTTATTTAATTTTGCACTACAGACAGGACATACACAATACAAGAACCTGAGCATTGATTTAAATACTAACAATTTGTCTGTTTGTTTGTCCGTGTGCCTTCGCGTGGAACCTATAACCTACGTTGGAGTTAAGGGGCAAATAAATAAAAAAAAATAAAACAATGAAACGTTTTTTCTCCTAGCGCCGTCCAGATTAGCGCCAGAACCGTAACGACAGTAATGCCCTCACGAGGACAGTTTGTGTACTACACAAATGACAATTACGCACCAAGTAAAGAGGTGAATTTGGAGTATTCTTTCATAATCAGTTAAGTTTTGACAAAATTAGCATAAGTGACGATATTGCACCGTAGGTGCGTTTTGATCACATAAATAACTATCGTGAGACATACTAAATTAACTAAAAATCGCGGGTTACTCACGTGAATATACTGAGAAGAGCTCTACTAGTACAGTAGGCTGCGCGACATCGCCGCGACCGCGCAAGCTGCTCATGAGGAAAAACCCTCTGTGTTTCGAAACTAGTAGAGCTGTTCTCAGTATATTCACGTGAGCAACCCGCGATTTTTAGTTAACGCATAAATTGAGTGTTTTTAAAAGATATGAAGTAATTTTTTTCACATATAGCTGGTAACATTGTTATTAGGAAAATCCGTTTCAAAGAATGTCGAATAAATCTATACATACATAAATAAAATTGGAGTGTCTGTTTGTAATATTAAAGAAACCGCTTTTTACTGAATATACATAAGATACATATTATACCAAAATAACAGTTTTGACAATTTTTCTCTGTCTGTCTGAATCACAGAATCACATTAGATCACATCAACAGCCTATAATGCCCACTGTTGAGCTAAGCCTCTTCTCACATGGAGAAGGTTTGAGCATTAATCACCACGCTTACTCCATCTCTGGGATGGCTGGACCGATTTTGCAAGCCTTTGATTGCCAGGTAGCTGATGTGCTAAGGAGTAACAAAGACTACTTTTATTTAAGTTAATTGATACAAAAAAGTTATGTACTAAAATTGATAATCTTAGCAAACGAATTCGTGGGCAACACCTTTTTTATGGCATAAGCCGGTAAACGAGTAGACGGATCACCCGATGGTAAGCAATCGGCGTCGCCCATGGACACCTGGAACACCACAGGCGTTACAAGTGCGTTACCGGTCTTTTGGGGATTAAGAGTTTGTTTGAGGATCGTTGGGGATTCAGGAATTGGGGAGATTGGGGAAAGGGAGGGTAATTGGGCTTCCGTTCCTGGTCCAATAATAAATCTACCTCTAGTTAGCAACGCTAGGCCAAAAAAGCCATTTTTGACAGTCAAAAATCCAAAAACAATTTCCTATATTTAACTATATTAAACTTATTTAATAATATATCCCACTTAATTCGCAAAGGCAAGAAACATCTAAAGAGGCTAGGCCTTAAGCAATAAGCTTTGCTATCCCATCATACAAGACACGCTATTTAGTTGTGCATCCAAGTAAAAAATCGTCGCCCTCGAAAACACAAAAAAAAATATTTATGCCGATTGTTGTAGGGACAGTTAGTGAATGAGTACCCTTGCGTGACGCTTTGGGCGCAAGAAAGATGAATGGGCAAGCTGTACTATAAAAATCAACAAAATTAAATAGATGATTGTATTGTGCTATGGGTATAGCGCAACCAGAGATGGATTAAAAGAGAGCGCTTTCGGCAAGTACCATTTAGGCGCCCCTATTTTTTTTCTACGTACAGTTGGGCACATGCGTCTTACGGCGCCCCTCTGCGGCCTGGCGCCCTAGGCTCTTCTTTAGTTTGCGTTAAATACGGCTCTGGATTAGGCTGTAGTATAAGTAGTCGAAAATTATGTTTTGGATTGGATTCCTTTATGAAACTTTACGTACAATCAGAATCAAAAGTTAATGAACACATTTAGATTTCGCTGTAGGTACACCGTATTACCTAAATCTGTCAACAAAACAAGCGTCATTACTAAATCATTATCTTGTGTTGTCATGTTTTTTTTTTATAGCATAAGCCGGTAGACGAGTATACGGATCACCTGATGGTAAGCAATCGGCGTCGCCCATGGACACCTGGAACACCAGAGGCATTACAAGTGCGTTACCGGCCTTTTGGGGATTAGGAGTTTGAGGATTCAGGGATTCAGGAATTGGGGAGACTGGGGAAGGGTAGGGTAATTGGGCCTCCGGTAACCTCATTCACACGACGAAACACAACGCAAGCGTTGCTTCACGTCGGTTTTCTGTGAGGCCGTGGTATCACTCCAGTCGAGCCGGCCCATTGTTCTAATCTAATCTAAATGTATTCATCAAGTTTTGATACTGACCGTACCACATCATATTCCACTTGGCCTTTTTAAAAGCCCGGCAACGCACCTGTGACTCCTCTGGTGTTGCGGGTGTCCATGGATGGCGGTGATCGCTTACCATCATGTGATTCGTCTACTCGTTTGTCTCCTATTCCATAAAAAACCACATCAACAGCCTATAAATGTCTACTGCTGAGCAAGTGCATTAATTACTACCTTTGGTATAATTTGGAGATAATAATTGTTCCAATCTTAGAATAGAGGTTCTTGAATTTGATTGCCGGATCCTGATATGCCACGTAAACCAAGCTACGACTGTATGGGATTCAATTTGTTAATTATCGCAATTCTGAGTAAAAGTACGAATTATGGTAATCTGAAATTGAATATGTAAAATCCTGACTTTCATCCTAATATGAATAAGACTGATCCCAAAAATTTGAACTCTGAACTTGACAGTGTGTTCCAGTGCTATTTCACACAGCCTCCGTGGCGCAATGGCTAGCGCGTTCGGCTGTTAACCGAAAGGTTGGTGGTTCGAGCCCACCCGGGGGCGATTGTTTTACACAAAAAATATTTTTTATTCATACTAAATCTAAATTATTATGATTACCATTAATTTTATTCACTGCTTCGTTCACCGAGTGGTCGCAAGTACAAGGGATCTTGGGTTCAAATCTCGGATCAGGTAAAAGTATAGCTGGGTTTTAAAAAGTATCTCTGTAGTAGCACGTATTCTGGAGTTTTGCTTGGCATATGGCAATAGGCATTAGGTACATGGGACTGGTAACATAAATAGTGAAAAATGGTTGTTACATTATACAGTTGTAAATGTCGTAATGTGCACCTCTGCTTACCCTTTCAGGGATAAAAGGCTTAATGATGAGAGAATGTACAGTTGAAATGTTCTTGTTTTATTTAGCTACTAGCTTCTGCCCGCGACTTCGTACGCGTAATCCCATTTTTTCCCGTCCCCGTTCGTGATTTTCGGTAAAAAGTAAAAAAAAATGTTGGTTAAAAAGTATCCTATGTCGGTCTCCTGGCTCTAAGTTACCTCCATACCAATTTTCAGCCAAATCTATTCTGCCGTTCTTGAGTTATAAGTGGTGTAACTAACACGACTTTCTTTTATATATATAGATTGAAATCAATGTTGATCCAAGCGTGTAGGGCAATAAGTCTTATTAAAATTCGTTTCATTTTGATCTACAAAAACCATATTTCGACTTCGTTACTGGTGACCATGCACTGCTTCTAGAGAGCTAAAATTTCAGTGAGCAATGAAACAAAAATATTTGTCAAAATTTCACGACAAAGGGAAAATCTCTAAATCTATACTAATATTATAAAGCTGAAGAGTTTGTGTTTTTGTTTGAACGCGCTAATCTCCGAAACTACTGGTCTGATTTGAAAAATTCTTTCTGTGTAGGAAGGCTATAGGCTATAAAATATCAAGCTACGATTAATAGGCGCCGAGCAGAGCGAGTAAAACCGCGTGGAAGTAGCTACTTTTGTAATAAAACTATAAAAAACCTCATCAATAATAATTTACTATTGTCACAAAAAAAAACTGAAAGTACCTTCAAGTTAGTCAAACACGATCATTTCTTCGGGGGGCATGGATTCTTTTGGTTGGCAGGCCGTTCTGGTGGAGGTGGGGGCATGTCTTCACGACAGGGTATCCTCTCCCTCAAAATGATATTCTGCCCACAAGTCTTATTGAAAATAGCCAGTGCAACTTTAGCAATCTTATACGATGCAAGCCTAAACACTTCATCTGTCTCCTTAGGAAAGCATAAAGCACCAGTGGCCAATCCTCCAATACTTGCATAAAAGAATTTTGTTGGTAGTCCCTTCTTAGAAGCCAATAAGAACCCAGTTGCAGCCCCAACCGCTACCACAGCTTGCCTTACATTACAATTCTCAGGTGCTCTCATAGCCTTCTTAAATTCTGCTTTCTTCTGACAAATCACCGCGCATGCCTCGTTCTTCAACTCGCAAGCGTCCTTTTTGAAATCTGCTATAGAGTCCACCCAACCTTTTCTATAGTTTTTAACCTTTGGATATATATAATTGTGTAAGAGTTTTACATTTGCATTTGGGCACTTCTTTTTGTCTTCCATGTAGTCTTTGTACTCGTAATGGGGCTTTCATATATGGGTAAATCCTTGTATTTCATTTTTGGTGGCTTTTGTGGGGGCTCATCAGGTTTTGCAGCGTGTACCACTGGGATTAATGCTAGATTCGTCCCAACTAGGGCCGTTTTGAGAGCTTGTATCCATATTCTGCCGATGACGTACAGGTCCCCATGACACAGTTTAGATATGGACCCTATCATTTCTGTCTCAGAGCTGAATATGGCATCATTATGATGCTGTTGATTATCTTCTACATAGTGACCCACTTCTGTACATGGATTTTTCATTTTATTGTATAAAAAAATGATGTAAAATTTTATTTTTTCAAAATGTTTGTGCTTTGTTGTGTTGTGTTTACTAAAATTTTTGACATTGACGTTTTAGGTTTTTTTTTATACCTCTAGATGTCTGTATGAAGTTGGTTGAAAAAAGTTGTGTGTTTTTGTATCTGTAATGAGGTCAAGTATTCAAGAATGAGGTCTAATGATATAAGTTTATGTGTCCTTTTCTTTTGTATTGTAACTTTCGTGAGACATACTAAATAAATTATTATGTTTTCGGCTTACTCACGTAATAATTTGACGAGGATATCGACTAGTTTCAAGCCATGCTAGAGGCTCATATTCATGAGCAGCATTTCGTGACCCGCGACGCGGCGACTGTCGCGCTGCTACTGGCTACTCGAGTCTGCGGGCCCAGCTCGTCCTCTGCCGTGATTCACGCGCACTTTCCTCTATTCGTGGTATTGGCGACGGCGGCGCGCGAGACACTGTTGGCACGCGAGACTTGCCCGTCGGTATTTGCATTGGTGTTGGGTTCGAATCCCGGGTCGACGCAAAAATGTCCTTGTATGTCCTTTTCTTGTTCGAGTTATAAATATTGTAAAAAAATAAATGTTTCGTTGGTTTCACACACCGTAATAACATTTCCATTACAAAAGATAGACATACGTACAATTTCAGAAAACCCATGTACATACGCAAGACACTAATGTCGAATCAAATATCAATATAATCCTTCTTTGAACCGACTTCAAATAAAGAAAAGTTTCTCTGTTTGACATATACTTATGTATGTATGCTGTAACCAATTTTGATTCGAATTTTAGAAAAGTGTTTGTTATACTTGGGAGAAGGTTTTAGTATATTAATTAACCGATTTCAAAAAAAGGGGATTGAAGTCGGTTTTTATTAAAAGTAGCTTATACAAGTATTATTCGACGTCCTTGATCAGAATCATTTTTTATCATCTAGTTATCTATGACGTCGCGGAGAACCTAACGGGTTACCGGGGCTCCGACTCGACGTGCAGGAAAAGGAACGGGGTGGTTTTAGTCAGTAAGAGTCTGACACTAAAGGCGAGAGCAGTCATTCGATGGTTTTCCCCCCTTAACCCTTTGAGTACCGTCATTATAGACACAAATAAAGAACAATAGGTGTGCGGACACCGGTGTCCTCGCGGTGTTTGACAGTTTAAAAAAAAACTTATCTATGACCACTATTTATTCCGACAAGAGAACTATAATTCCCCCTCTTTAAGAAACCAGAGGCGTGATGATATGCACATTACATTATGTGACATTATGACTCACAGATACACAACTAAAGAAATGCGATTCGACGACAAAACACAAGTAATTCCGGGAACTGACTCATAGTGTTGTTAACATTTTAACTTTTTTGACCATAAACTGAATTTTATGACTTACCCACGACCTTAAGGTATTAAGACCTCTGCGGTGAGACCTTTGGCACATAACAGGTAATGTTAAGAAGGTCCAGTTCGATAAGAATCTATCGGTCAATTCAATGTAGTCCCGCGGAGGTGGCTTAATGGTAGGCGTATTACTGAATATATGATAGCGTTGCCCGCCTCATTGGGCGAGTGGTCGCAAGTGCGGCAAGGGGTCTCGGGCTTGGTTCCCGGGTCGGGCAAAATATTACGGGGTTTTTAAAAAAAATCTCAGTAGTAGCACGGAGTCTGGAAATGTGCCCGGTATATGGCAATAGGCTCACCCCCTATTACATGGGACTCATAACATAAATAGTGAAAAGTGGGTGTTACTTCTATGTGCACCTCTGCCTACCCCTTCGGGAATAAAAGCGTGATGTTATGTTATGTTATGATAGCGTCATCATCAACAGCCTATAAGCCGCCACTGCCTGACCAAAGACCTCTTCTCGCACGGAGAAGGTTTGAGCATTAATCACCACGATTGCTCAATGCGGGTTGGTGAACGATTGGAGTTTATTGCTCGTTCTTTTCCACTCGAATCTTCATTTTGGAAGAAACACCTAGCTTCACTGACGTATAGACTGACAGACTATTATTTATTTAATATTTGTTGACGTGTCAAAAGTAGCTAATTATGGTTTTAGAAGTTTGAGTTTAAATAATTTTCATTTATTAACTCGTTGAGTACCGTCATTATCACAGATTTATTTAATACTAGCTTCTGCCAGCGGCTTCGCCCGCGATCCCATGGGTAAAATGCCTATGTATCACTTCAGACCATAATCTACCTCTGTTCCGAATTTCATTCCGGTCCCTTCAGTCGTTTTACTATGACTGAGTAACAAACATACACATAAACTCACATATTTACATTTATAATATCGAGTCAAGCTAATTTCAACCATTCGCCTTTCAGTTACAGCGTAAATTCTATGAATGAGTATTGTAAACGTTAGAGTAGACAAATACAATCACCGAATTGCTAAGCTATCGGGAGTTTCACGTGTTATTGTGAGTCAACCATAAAAGATAGGCATGTGCTGTCGAGGAACATTTTTTATATAATTTTAAGGAGACTATTTCCGTCATACATGATTTCTATGTAGCTTTAACCTATAAGCCCGCACACGCGACGGAAGGTTAAAAAATGGAGTAACTTCTCCCGTTTTCCCAACATTTTCCTTCACTGCTCTGCTCCTATTGATCGTAGCGTAATGAAAAGTATACTATAACCTACCCAAGAGTATAAAGAATAATTGTGCCAAATTTTGTTAAAATCAGTCGAGTAGTTTTTGTTTCCATAACGAACATACAGACAGACAGACAGACAAACAAAAATTTTATTGATTGCATTTTTGGCATCAGTAGCGATCCCTAACCACCCCTTGATAGTTATTTTTTAAATATATTTTATGTACAGAATTGACCTCTCTACAGATTTATTATAAGTATAGATTTCTGTGGTCATTAGACACAATTAAAGAACAATAGGTTGCGGTCACCAGTGACCGCTTGGTGTTTGACAGTTTAAAGGTGTTTTATAGGTAGTTTTTTGATTAGATATAACAATTATGTTTATTTATCAAAATTATACAATTTTCATTCGACCGGAGTGATACCATGACCACATAAAAAACCGCCGTGAAACAACGCTTGCGTTGTGATTTGTCGTGTGAGTGAAATTACCTGAGGCCCAATTAACCCCTCCGCAATATCTCCAATCCCTGAAACCACAACAATTCTCAAATTACTAATCACAAAAGGCCGGTAACACACTTATAATGCCTCTGGTGTTCCAGGTGTCCATAGCCTACGCCGATTGCTTACCATCAGGTGATCCGTCTGCTCGTTTACCGGCTTATCCTATAATAAAATTAAAGTTAAAAGAAAATTACAACTCCGTATTTACTACATCTGCTCTATTTATGTATAATGAACCTTCTGACTTTTACCTTTACTTTGTCCACTTAATGTTTTCGGAATTAAATACTTTAACTCTCACGCGTTTACCCTTAACGGGGTAAGCAGTAATCGCAGTTAACACGATATTTTATAGCATTAAACTAAATACAGCTATTTTTATTGTTTTAATAAACTTTTGTAACTACAATTGTCTTGTATCATTATTTAAAAGAAATGTCACCACCGAGAATCGAAGTTCCCATGTTAAATTCCGTGATACATTGATAATTTAAGTTTTGACGTAATTATAAAAATATTTTGCGTGATCAGGGATTTAAACCCGAGACCTTGATGGTGCGTTTGGCCATTTGACCAACACAACTATAATAGCAATAAGTTTTCATGGCTCTGAAATACAAAAATGTCGCCCCCGGGTGGGCTCGAACCACCAACCTTTCGGTTAACAGCCGAACGCGCTAGCCATTGCGCCACGGAGGCGGTGTCATTAGGCTTCGAAACAATAGTACTAACCAGGAGTAGAAACACAGATAGAAGAATTCAATATGTACGTTTTTTAGTGCAAAAAATAGAAATCTTTAAGATTCTACGATTCTTACATACTTCTATAGCTTCATCAACAGTCATCAATCTTTTCATGCATGCTCGTCGGTTAAGGGTACTTACAATTTTAAAGAAGAATTAATACTTGGCGTTGGTAGATTTCGCATCCGCGTCCTCATGCATGAGAAGCGGGCGTTTTAAACCTCTGGACAACCACGATATTAATGCTGTGTTAATACTGAGTCTGTCCCGTTGGCCGAGTGGTCGCAAGTGCGACTGCCGGGCAAGGGGTCTCGTGTTCAATTCCCGGATCGGGCAAAGTACTACCGGGTTTTAAAAAAAAATCTCAGTAGCAGCACGGATTCTGGAATTGTGTCCGGTATATGGCAATAGGCTCACCCCCTATTACATGGGACTCATAATATAAATAATGAAATGTGGGTGTTACATTGTACAGTGAAATAATGTGCACCTCATGCCTACCCCTTCGGGGATAAAAGGCGTGATATTATGTTATGTAATACTGAGTACATATTTTTAAATGCAACACAACATAGCCTCAACCAGGCAACAGTCTGAGTCAAGATTCGATATCCGTACTTGTACTCGATTAAAAACTAAAAAGGAAAGATCATTTGTGTCCTAATGGTAACCATTCATCATTTTGTTTTCAAAATAAAGGGATTACTGTCAACATTATCTCCAAACAATATGTTATTTTGTCTCATATGGAATTTGCAGAATAGAGTTTTAAATAAAGGTAAGTACAGGCAATACAATACTTTTTG